GCACTCCCAGACTTTAAGGGGAAAAAAAATCTCCTTGTATATTTATTTACATTCCAGAGTAAAATACAGACAAGACTTTTTTTGCATGAACACGGATGCCAACCATTTTTTTTTTAAATTGCGAGCTGAAACCCGTGACCCAGGTTAGGCTGCCCTATCTTTGGGAAATGTGGTGTGGTGATCCTGCCATACCAAAATGTGAGAGGGACACAGATATTACCCCCATCACACCCGTCAAAACACATGTAGTAAAGTAGCTGTGAACCTTTGCAGACTGTAAGTCTTTGAGTGTTTGTCTGACACCTTATGAACCAAAAAAAACAAACTAATAAGAAAAGGAAAAATAACGTAAACTGCGTAGACATTCAGCTGTTAACTAACATCACTCATATGTCCAACACACACACACAGACAGACAGACAGACAGACAGACAGACAGACAGACAGACAGACAGACACAATCTGTCATCTCGTCTCTCCCCTATTTTCCCTCTAGTGCTTTGTCTCTGGCGATCACCGCCTCGTCGAACTTGATCATAAGAGTGGTGCCCTTGTGCCAGTGCACGGTGACCTTGGCGGGGAAGCCGCTGTGCGTGAGGATGGCCTCCACGATCCCTCCGATGAAGGCGGCACAGTTCAAGCTGCTGTTGTCCTTAGGAACAGAGATGTACGTGTTGACGAGGGGCTCCTTCTCGATGATGTAGTAGGTCTTGTCGTCGTCGTTGGCCTGCTCCAGCTTGTCCGCCTCCTTGCCGAACAGAGATCTCCACACGGATACCTGCCGAGTAAAAAAAAAAATTACTCTGGAGGAAATAATGTCTCTATTATAACCCTTTTCACACATACGGAAATCACCTGAAAAACTCCAGAGATTTGGCTACCCGGAAAATCCGGGTGAGCTGATGTCTGAACGCAGCCGCATATACTCCGGAGATTTCAACTCGAGCCAATGAAAAAGAATGACGTTTATACAGTGACTGTTTAAAGTGTCTGGATGCGACCTCTATGATCTCCGTGCTCTAATTAAACGTCTGCATTCTGTTTTCTGTTGGTCAGTTTGTTGTTCTCCTCTCTTTTCTGGATGTTGTCATTCCATTGGATTACACATAGCATTGATATAAAGACAAATATTCTCATTATAACGTCGTGTAGCGGACTCTGTTGCTTCGGCCGCTACTTCTGAGTATTTTTTTTTTAAGTCACGTCTTACCTCGGGAAATCCTCCCCCCCTGACAGGGACAGCCCCCCGCTGTGAGGAGCATATGTGAACGACTAGGTCGGGAGAATCTCCAGAGAAGTCCTCCTGTAAATATCTAGATAGTATCCGGATTGCATGTGTGAAAACGGCTTATTAGTGCTTTCACACAACTACAGAAAACTCCTGAAAAAGCTCCTGATATTTGCCGGACGAGCTGCATGTGTGAACGCAAACAGACACTTTTTTTTCGTTTGGCCTTCATCTGGTGTTTCTCGTACCAGCTCCCTCGTATTTTTAACGAATGACGATTATATATATATCTTTGTAACATAACAATGAGTAAGATCTTTTACCTGCTTTTTGTAACATAACAATGAGTAAGATCTTTTACCTGCTTTTTGTAACATAACAATGAGTAAGATCTTTTACCTGCTTTTTGTAACATAACAATAAGTAAGATCTTTTACCTGCTTTTTGTAACATAACAATGAGTAAGATCTTTTACCTGCTTTTTGTAACATAACAATGAGTAAGGTCTTTTACCTGCTTTTTGTAACATAACAATGAGTAAGATCTTTTACCTGCTTTTTGTAACATAACAATAAGTAAGATCTTTTACCTGCTTTTTGTAACATAACAATGAGTAAGATCTTTTACCTGCTTTTTGTAACATAACAATGAGTAAGATCTTTTACCTGCTTTTTGTAACATAACAATAAGTAAGATCTTTTACCTGCTTTTTGTAACATAACAATGAGTAAGATCTTTTACCTGCTTTTTGTAACATAACAATGAGTAAGATCTTTTACCTGCTTTTTGTAACATAACAATAAGTAAGGTCTTTTACCTGCTTTTTGTAACATAACAATGAGTAAGATCTTTTACCTGCTTTTTGTAAAGTGTCTGGAGATAACACTTGTTATGAGTTGATGCTACACAAATACAAATTGAATTGATTGATGATTATAGAAAGTGTGATTTTCCTCCTTTTATTCTTCCATTCACTCCTTCAGCTGTCTCTCACACTCACACACACTAAGTCTGCATACCTTGACAAACAGCAGTATGTTCAGTACTTTGGTCTCCCTCTTGCCGTTCTTCTCTCTCAGCACCAGGACGTCCAGCAGGCTGCCCCCGACCCTCTGCCCCATGTCGGACAGCCGAGCCTGCAGCTCGGTGACGGAGTAGACCCGGCTCTGGCAGTACTGCACCACCTCCGAGAACAGCAGGGCGAAGGCGCACACACTCACCTCGGTCTTCGGTCGGCTCAGAGGCCGCTCCAGTAACGCGGACTTGCCTTTGGTGAAGCGAGCCTCCATTATTATTATTATTATTACTGAGTGATCAGCTGATCGGCTACTGCTAACAATGCTAACCGCTCAAAGGCTGTTTTTATTAGCTTTAAAGCTAATTGACGAGATCACCTCTTAAGCCTATGACATGAATATTTCAGTGTCAGTTCAGTTTAACAAAAAAACAAAACACAGAGCTCACTGCGCTTCCCCCTACACCTGCTGTAGTTGTTTCGTTTACTTCCTGTTCTGATTACGTCACATGCAACGTGACTCTTCTTCGTCTAATGGATTTACGGCAGGCAGTACAATGTAGAGTGTAATGCTGCCCTCCACAGTCTAGGAGTGTGTACTTCAGTCATATTTTATGATACAGGCAAGTGGCATCTAAGAATCTGAAAACTGCGCCCCCAACAGATTAAAAGTTTGTACCACAGAACATATTAAAGTACTTAAAGGAGAAAGATGAGTCAGATACTTCCTGAATAACTGACTTCTTTCCTATATTTAACAAAAACAAAGACAACATGACTGTTTCCTGTCATCAGGGTGTTTACTGATGACCTTTAAATAACCACACAGACCACAATGTCCTAACCATCATCCTTTCTCCAAGATTTTAGCCGAGGCCTCTGTAATGATAAGTGTATGTGTTTACAGTGAATATGGTTGACCAGTAGGTGGCAGTATAACATGAGTTACCACATGTAAACATAGAGAGTAAGAGAGCGTGGCGGAGATGAGACAGTAAAAATAAAGTAGCTAGTCCAGCTAGCTTGAAGACCCAAACACTGTGTTTTTATTAATACAAATAAGAACATTACAGTCTCTTCCTTTTTATTGATGGTTGCAGAGAGAAAAAATGTCTGCCCTTTTGCTCTTCATCCCACTCAGCCACCGACACTCTAGCTTTTCCTTACAAATACTACTAATAATAAATTCACCACCGAGATTTCATTCCCCTCGATCCCTGAATGACCCCCAACCAAACTCCATCTCTTCTCTCGTTTTATATTTCTGACCACACGATGTAGTCGGCTTTACTAGAGCCCAACCGATAAATCAGCCTGCCGATAATATCAGCCGATATCAGCTCATCACGATCAACTATCGGTATCGGCTAGTTTTATCTCAGATATGTGCCGATATTATTAGGTTTAGTTCATTGTTGTTCTGTATACTTTATTTTTTATAGTTATCAATTTCTATATAAATATTTTAGTTTCAGTTTGTTGTTATTCTGGCTCATAAAAGCTTTTGTTAAAAATAAAAAATCTTGTCCATCCAGCTGTCCATTTTCTTCCGCTTATCCAAGGTCGTTTTTTTAAAGTGAAATGAGACATTCCAAGACGCAGCAGTGTCCTTCTTTTACATCACTGGGACTACGGGGAGACACTGAGGACAAATATCTACGGAGAGCCTGAAGGGACAAAACAGCCTGAGATTAATTGTGACAAAAAAAACTAATTAATTAAACTAATAATTTCAGACCTTCATTTATCGTGATTAACTAATGCTGACTACCTGAATGTTACACAGCTCCATGGTCTGCAGCCAGTGACGATTCTAGAGTCTGATGTGGCCCTAGGCAAAAATCTATTGGGGGGGGGAGGGGTCCCTCTAACCAGCGTTCATCACCATCATGTCTGCCAGTGTCCCGACGATTACTCCTCTTCCTCTTTTTTCCTGTTTCTGTTTCTTCTCCTGTAGACGAATAATTCCTCTTCATTTTTCTTTGTAGACTTTCCTTATCAAACTTTGGTTTTCACGGCAATAATGCATGCAACGCTTAGCAGGGCAAGGTCAGATGGGGCCCCCTTAGGGAGGTTTCCTACTGTCGTTGCAAAATTTGCACATTTTTGGTCACTGATTTGGTTGAAAGTTTGTCAGCCCTCAGGCGCCCCCTGCTGGTCTCGGGCCCTGAGCAGTTGCCGCTTTGCCTGTTGACAAGCAGCTCCTCTGGCACGATGCACTTCTTCTTCTGTTGTATTTAATGCTTCTTCTTCTTCTGTTCTATAAAATGCTTCTTCTTCAGTTGTATTTGATGCTTCTTCTTCTTCTGTTGTATTTAATGGTTCAACAGTGACAAAATGAGAGAAAGTCTGATGTTTCTTAATCTCTCTGCATCAGAAGTTCCTCTGGGTGACAGGTTGTGTTATTCACAGTGAAGAAACATTTCCTGACACAGATGAGTCACACGAGATACGTTAAATATTAACCATAAATCTGCTTTCCCTTTAGTTTTGTTTGTTGAAGGTCATGCTATTATCTCTTTGAGTGAAGCTGTACACGTCTATAAACGTGATGTATCTACGTCTGAACAGGAAAAACAATGATGAATAACCTGTGTGATCAACCTTTTAACAGGGCCAGGGATCTGTTTTCCTCATGTCACACTTTAACTCACCGTAGGCTGAATCAATATTTGGGCCATCACTGGACAAAGAGTACTTTCTCTATTTGGTCAAAACACTGCAGTTTATACAAATACACCTACTCGGAAAGTCTCAGGAGTCGTGTTGAGCAAAACTTCACTGTTCGGTCTGTTTTGTTTGTTTTTGGAAAGCCTGAATGTTAAGAGGTTTCTGTCAGGATTCCTTCTGATCTCACTTTTGGAGCTATCATTCTTCTTGTTGCCTGGAGGAGGCCGGGTTTATGTTCTTCTGTAGAAGAGGCGACAAGCAGGAGATGCAAAATGTCTTCATCTGGACTGTCATGTTTTGTTTGGGCTCTATCCTTTATCGTATTCACCGCTCATGGCAGGCCGGCAGGTGAGTTCAGTTATTCAAAATATGTCAACATGCGTATTAAATTCTTCATTTGAGAGTTTTGATGAGAAATATTTCCTTACTCCCCTCCCTCAGTGTTTGTTAAAACTTATCTCCATTCAGACATGAAGCTCAAATTTGGTTCTTATTTCTTTGATGTTTTTTGGACCAAAGAAAGTATTTTCTTCAGTTTGTAGGTCTTTTGGTTCAGCTTGAGTTGTACGCTTGTGAAGAAACTCCACCATTGGACGCCTATAAACAGCGGCCCTGAGTGGTGGCAGAACTGAACAGTTTGAGAGGGAGGGTTTCTTGCAAAATTAAAACATGTTTGAGCCTCTGAAACTAAAAGAAGCGCAGTACAGAGAGCTGAACCCAACAAACAAAAAGGGAGTTTGACTTTACTCTACTTTTTTTTAAAGTCATTACTTAAAGAGGACATATCATCCCTCCTTCTCCACCTTCTCAAACAGTCCCCTGTGGTCTAAATGAAACATCTGTGCTGTGCTTTGGTCAAAATATAACATGAATCAAGCACCAGAGGAGGTTTGTGACCCTGTATGAGTTTTCCCAGTAGACATCCCTCCTCTGTAGCGAGAATAAAAATGGCCGACCTGCTCAAAATGTTTTGCTCTAGGCTGGGGGGGAGTCCATGGGTGGAGAATCCCACTGTGACATCACAAGGAGAGCACATTTGAAACAGAGCATTTTTCTCTGTGTTGTAAGACTTATGCAGACCACAAACAAAGGACTGGATGGGTTTATTTCACATTGTCTGGGTCAGTAGACACTCAGGTTACCCAAACATATGTTCAAAAACACTGTAGAAGAGGATTTTTCATAATATGTCCCCTTTAAGAGTATATTTAGTTCATTCAATGGTCCATAATTGGAACATGATGGTCCACTTCACATCGGGATGGCTGTGGCTCATTGGTAGAGTTGGTTATCTCTCGACCGACAGGTTGAGGGTTCGATCCCCAGCTCCTGTAGTCACATGTTGATGGGCAAGACACTAGTTAGTTCATACTGAGGGACACTTTACAGAGCAGCTTCTACCATCAGTGTGTGAATGTGTAGGTGTGACCTAAAGTGTAAAAATGCTTTGAGTAGTCAGAAGACTAGAAAATAAATATATAAGCTCAAGTCCATTTATCATTGATCAAATACTTCTTCTGTTTCTCATCCATTGTTGTCAGGGCTCCATCTGCGTAACATGGACAGCTTCATCAAAGCTGTTCAGCAGGTCGAAGACTCAAACCCCGATTTGCCCCCTCTGGCTCTGGTCAGGGCCCTGCGGAGGACAGCAGGAAACGACGACATGATGACCGTCCATTTTTTGGGTTCCTCCTATAATCTGAGCGATGCTGAGGTGCTAGAGACAGCCATTCTCAACGCCTCGTCCTTTAGCTTCTTCGACAAGGCCATCCACCACATTGTGACAGACCAAGGAGAGGAACGAGGGGTGGTGCTCGCTAAAGACGGCACCACAGTAGCCCTCGCACCTTTACTTCTAGGGATCGAATCAGGATTAAAAGTCAAGATGGAAGGGGCACCACCTGTCGGGATCTTCCCTCTCACTTTAGGCCGGACGCTGGGTCTGTCCTTCTTCAGCCTCCAGGACTTCCCGCCATCCACTCGCATGGGGCCTAATGGGTGCTGGGACGACGTGGACCGCCCTAGGATGTTCAAGCTCTCTCGTCCAGCCACTCTGGCCACCGATGCTGTTATCAGCGGGGGCATGGATGGAGCCATTCTGGGCACGGACATTAGCACCTTACCTGCGTCTGAACAGCCGCGGCCCCTCAGTGAGATCTTAAAAGGATACTACAGCTTCAGCCTGAGCGGAGAGCAGGGTCTCGATGCGGTGACCGGCCATGTCAGCCCGAAGAGAAGGGAGATTTCTAGATCAATTCTAGAGCCGCTGGATCTTTACAGCCAGGTGATGGAGACGCTGGCTTTAGTCTGGAAGTTGGAAAAGACCGAGTGGATTGCGATGGACACTGGGGTCGGGAAGGCAGTGAAGGATGGTTTGAAGGCGTTTGTGCACAAATACTGGGGTAAGTATTGGAGACAAAGATCCTTCTCATTACCCAAAATAGTATCAATATCAAATATCCCATTGTATTCAAACCTTCACCTTCTCTCCTTCTGTCCTCAGACTGCCCTCAAATAATCCCTCGTTGTCAGTGGGGTGCAAAAGACTACCGGGGAACACCTGTCCCTCTGTCTCTGCCCCTCCAGTTTCTCTATGTTCACCACACCTACGAGCCGTCCTCGCCCTGTCTCTCCTTCCCAAACTGCTCTCGTGGCATGAGATCAATGCAGAGGTACCACCAGGAAGATCGTGGTTGGAACGATGTTGGATACAGGTAACCATCCTTATTATGAATAAAGAAACATCTTAAGATATAAATGCTCATTTGTCTTGCTGCGAGTTTAAGGACAGTGTTGATACTGCTTATTTTTGTCTGTGCATGAAGACTTGGCGCCATTAGCTTAGCTTAGCATGACGACTGGAAGCAGGGTGAAACTTCTGGCATGCTCTGTCTAAAGCATCACTCATTGTCTGTAAATAAATCTTCAAAAACTTGAAAAGTAATCTTGCGGTTTTGCAAGTAAGTAAATATGCTGTTATACTAATTTTAGTCCCTTATTTTGGTTTAGTTTGAGAATAATGTAAACAAACAAATTATACATTTTGGGGTGGTTGATTTCTCTCAAATGGACCAGGATGTAGGAGGATTTACCTAATTAGCTTGATGCTAACACATAAAGGAAATTGCCATTTACGGGCTAACATAATTAGCATCAGGATTTTTAACTTAAAACTCCTGCAAGGAGTCTTTAACTGGTTTTGAAACAGACTGTAACTAATACTAAAGCCTCTTTATGACTGTGCACCATGCCCTATTGTTCACAGTGAGAAGGCAGACTCAGAGGGCAGAACAAACACCTAGCTGTGGGAGTGTCACCCACCTGGGGGAGGGGTTACTGCCCTTTGTGATGTCATGAAGGGAAAATCTTCAAACGGCCTGTTTGAGCACACATTTTCTGAAAAGTGGAGCAGGAAACAGAAGAATGCCACAACAAAAATCTTTCCTCTATTTATTTTTGTGTCTGATATCAATCAATCAATCAATCAAACTTTATTTATATAGAACCTTTCAGACAAATTAAATTGCAGTTCAAAGTGCTTAACAAGAGTGCAGAAAAGTTATTGACGAAAAGTAGTTCATAAAATCATTGAGAGACCAATGCACACCAATATGAATTAAAAATAAAATATATGTATAAAAATAAAATACAATAAAATACGACACATAAAAGCAACAAGATATTAAAATAAATACATAAGAGGAAAATATTTAAAATTGTAGTAGGATAAAAAGACAATACAGTAATGTTAAGATTTGAATTGATATAAAACACTATCTAAAAGCCAGACTGAATAAATGAGTTTTAAGACTACATTTAAAAATCTCGATATTCTGGGCTCCTCTCAGACCCTCCGGAAGGTCGTTCCACAGTCTCGGAGCGTAACAGCTGAAAGCAGCATCGCCAAAGGTTTTTGTCCTGCTCTGTGGAACAACTAAGAGAGAGGAACTGGAGGATCTGAGGGGGCCGTACTGGTTCATAAGCTAAAATCATATCTGATAGGTAGTCTGGTGTAAGGCCATGTAATGGTTTTTAAACTAATAAAATAATTTTAAAATCAACACAAAAACTAACACGCAGTGTAAAGATTTTAAAACAGGTGTGATGTCTGCTCTCCTTCTGGTCTTTGTCAGTACTCGTGTGGCAGAGTTTTGTAGTAGCTGAAGCCGATTTGTTGTGTTTTTTGGAAGACCAGAAAGTAGAGCGTTACAATAGTCCAGCCTGCTAGTAATAAAAGCGTGCATTAGTCTCTCTGTTTGGCTCAGAGAGAGAAATGGCCTCACTTTGGCGATGTTTTTCAGGTGGTAAAATGCTGTTTTTGTGACACCCTTTATGTGGTCCTTAAAAATTAAACTCTGAGTCAAAGATCACCCCCCAGATTCCATGCTTCTTGACTTGGGTTGAGTCCTATTTTTTTTAGTTTAGGGGCCAGTTTCTCTCTCTGAGCCTTTGAACCGACGATTAAAACCTGTGTTTTGTCCTGGTTGAGCTGCAAAAAAATCTGTGACATCCAGGCTTTTATATCTAAAATACAATTAAAAAGTGAGTCAATTTGTCTGGTGTCATCAGGAGACACAGCCACATCGAGCTGAGTGTCATCAGCATAGCTGTGGAAAGAGATTCCGTGCCTCCTGATGACACCACCCAGGGATAACATTACAAATTAAAAAGTAGTGGTCCTAAAATTGATCCTTGTGGTACCCCCACTGGAGACCTCGTATTGTTTGGAGGTGCAGTCTTCTATCAATACAAAACATTTTCTGTCACACAAATACGAGGTGAACCAGTTAAAAACATTTCCAGAAAGGCCTACATGCTCACTTAGTCTATCTAAAAGAATCTGGTGGTCAACAGTATCGAAAGCAGCACTGAGGTCGAGTAGTACCAGAACTGAAGGCTTGTTGTTGTCGAGGTTTTTTCTGATATCATTAATTACTTTTAGCAGGGCCGTCTCAGTGCTGTGGCGTGCCCTAAAACCAGATTGAAACATTTCTAATGTAGTGTTTGAGGTTAAAAAGGCACTCAACTGATTAAAAACTAACTTCTCTAAAATTTTGCTTAAAAATGGCAGGTTTGAAATGGGTCTAAAATTACTAGGTGTTAAAATATCCAGGTTCCCTTTTTTTAAAAGAGGTTTAATTAAGGCAGTTTTAAAATCGGTAGGGACAACACCTAGCTGTACGAAGTGATTTACTATGTCGAGGACATCTTCTGATACTGAATTAAAAATGGTTTTAAAAAGGGATGTTGGAATTGGGTCAAGGGAACACGTGGATGGCTTCAGTTCTGTTACCACTGTCCTGAGTGTTGCAGCATCAACCAGGGCAAAACTTTCCAACTTGACATCACTGATTGTACATGATACTGGAAAAAGTGCGGTGTGCTTGCTTTGCTGACAGATACCAGACCTAATGTCAACTATTTTATCCCTGAAATAGCCAGCAAAAACCTCACATTTAGATCCTGAGAGCACAGAGCTGTTATTGGTTGTGGGGTGTAACAGAGAATCTATTGTTCTGAAAAGATGTCTGGGGTTGTGAATCACCCTTCAATTTGTGCATGGGCTACATTGTGAATTCACTAACCATGTGCTGTATTCTATTTGCTCTCTCAGCTTTGTGGTTGGCTCAGACGGCTACGTCTATGAAGGCAGAGGTTGGAATCACCTCGGCACACACACCAGGGGGCGCAACTCCAAAGGGTACGGCGTGTCAGTCATCGGAGACTACACCTCAAGCCTGCCCTCTCGTCACGCCATGGACCTTTTGCGTCATCGTCTTGTCAGATGCGCAGTAGACGGAGGGAAACTTGAAGCCAACTTCACCATCCATGGCCACAGACAGGTGGTAAACTACACCACCTGCCCCGGAGACGCATTCTTCTCAGAAATCAGAAGCTGGGAACACTTCAGAGAATGACAAGACAACCATGATAAGCTCAGCATCCTTAAACATTTATGTTTCTTCAAGGTATTACTGCTGGCTGTTTGTTTTTCTTAAAGGAGCAGTATGTAACTCTGACACCTAGTGTTTAAAACGGGTACTGCAGTCCAAATTCTAAACATTGTAGAGAGCTGTCAAATTCTAAACATTGTAGAGAGCTGTCTCCCCTGCCCCCTCCTCTCTAGAGTCGATGCTCACGCAGGTCACCATGTGGTGGACTCTGAAGCTTCAGTGTTTATCCAGCTCTGCATGGGTCTGTAAACCTTTCTGTGTTCTAACCTCTCTCCATTTTACAAAAGCATCTCCAGTATTGATCCTAGTTTGAGCACGTTTCTGCTCGTGGAGCTTATTAGAAACATGCAGAGGCTTTTTAGGTCGGGTACAATCACTTCTATCTGAACCACTTCTCTTGTTCTGCTTCCATCACTGCAACACCTGTTGACCTGATAACTGCTCTCATATCTGGCAAACCGAGGGGCGTCCAAAACGGCCGTGTGGGGGCGGGTCCTTAAAACCACCTACCTTCTCTGGTCCAAACAAATCCAGAGCATTCAGGAGCAGAATCTAAAGTTAGAAGGAGGACATACTGGCTGCTGCATTGTTGTCGGAGAAGCCAGCACTTCAACATAGCATGTTTCCTTAATGTCTGATCATATAGTAAGCTCAAGTTATCATATCAGTCAATAGATATCTTACAAACTGCTCCTTTAACTTTTCTATAACAAAATCTTTTTCTGGTTAAGCATACTGTCTTGTAATTTTTTTTCTTGCTATTTTTAGTTTTCAGTGCATTTTTATGTAATCATGATAACTGTTTTGTGAGATGTTGATCTAGAACGATTATCTCGGTCCTTCTCTATGTCACAACCATCTCATTCCTCCTCTTTATATTTTACAGGATTTGGAGAAAAGAACAGGACAAGACACAGAACTCACCAACCTTATTAAATATGATTGTTTCTTATACCTGTCTCTTTATTGTGTTTTACACTTACAGGAGTTACATGTAGTAAAATTAACACAGAGAGATCCATTTCTGCATTTCTAATGTTTTGTTTTAGAGTCGGTCGTCTTCTAACAAGAAGGTCGGGGGTTCGATCCCCAGCTCCTGCAGCTACATGTCCGATGTGTGCAAGACACTTAACCCCAAGTTGCTCCCGCTGCTTAGTCGACCAAATTTGCTTCAGACTAGGGCGATAGTTTGAGCCCTAATGCATGAGTCCAAGGTTTGAGAAAAACCCAAATAGGACTCTGAAAGAGGAACCCACCAGACCACCTACTCAGCAACAATATTTTCACATAAATCTTTGCTCTAACATGACCCTAAATGTTACCTCCCACGCTGGCACTGAAGATGACCTGATCGGTGCTGCTTTACTCAACAGACTGTTTGCTTTGTGGAGTTCATTGTACCATGGGAAAACCCAGAAAACAAACCTCCTTACACAAACAGTCAGGCAGCCAAACGTTCAGAGTGACGCTGAACCAGGGAAGCTGCAGGTCTGAGGAGTTACACAACACTAGTTTAATACACACATTTGACTTCTTAAACAATTGTTTACACAACCCAACATGTCTACAGTTTTTGCAATGAATGTTTTTCATTAGGTTGATAAATACTCAATACTGCAGAATGCTTTTATAGCTTTTATATGATTTTTTAACACATTCAGGTTGTGCATAAGAAGCAAATTCAGTGAGTTGTTCATTTCATGGACATGAGCACCATCTGCAGGTCCAGGGTGATTAGTGACACACACCATCAACCGCACACTGCAGCTGCAGAGACCAGGAAACCAACCCATTTCCTCCTCATGCAACCTTACACTTTTTCTCCACTACACTTAAAGGACCAATCAGTAACATATCTACTGACTGAAATGATAAAGTGACCTTACTATATGATCAGACATTAATGAAACATGCTATGTTGAAGTGCTGGCTTCTCTGACAACAATGCAGCAGCCAGTATGTCCTCCTTCTAACTTTAGATTCTGCTCCTGAATGCTCTGGTGATACAAGTATTTCAGCTCAAGTAGAAGAAAACAGGAGGCAGGAAATAGTGCATCAGACAGGCTTGGGGTGCTTGGTTCAGAAACTCACAGTGAAAGTGAAAGTGAGCCTAACGTTTAAACAAATGAACCAAAGATAAGACAGAGACGCTGTGCTGTGGCTGCAGAGAGATCACCAGAGAAGAGAACAGGAGGAAAAAGGTTGGTGCTTTGTTATTTACTTACTGATTATTTTACTCACAGTTTCATATTTATGAGACCACTCATAAGAATCTTAACACAAGCTGAGACGTCTTTAAGTTGTGTCTTTAGCATCACAGCAGCTTCAATTTGAACACATCGATGGTGTGGCCTTTAAAACATGTCACAACGGTTTTGCTCACTCAAAAACAAAAAAACAAGTGCAAAAGGAAGACGTACTTGCACGGCAATAATGAGATATTGATTACATGAATATTATCTGCCACATCCAGACTGAGACTTACTTCTCATACTCTCTAAAGGACTCCAACGACTTTTTTATTCTTTTATTGACAGTGTGCAGGACCAGGCTCAGTTGGATCTCAGCTTCACGTGAACTGCAGTGGATACCATGGGAGGAAACTGTAAGTGTCTGTTTGCCTGTAATAACGAGAATGTTTGAGATCTTGACTTATTTGTCTTGTCACCTCGGGATATCAACTCTGACGTCTTCTCAAAGTCTTGATAAATGAACTCGTTATCACAAGTGTGCCAATCACGATCCTCCAGTGTTAAAATGAAGCCAGTGCAGAAATGGAAGTGTTGACAACTGGAATGTGGGGAATACAGCGTATTATCCAAGTGGCAACCTCCGGTCTTGAAAAATGAAGCCAATGTGGAACTGCAAAATCCTGCAGTTCCTGGAGTGTCCACTAGAGGCTGGCTGCAGGAACACAGGAAGTCACATACACACCCATTCAAAAAAGCCTGTTTTTACAGCAGAAATTAACATGTTTACAGCCTGGTTCAAAAAACTAAATATGTCTGATTAGTTACTGTCATCGTGGCACACACTGTATGGGGGGTGAATGTTTTAAACGGCTCCGTTTTGATTTTATGAATGATATGTGTTATTCATAGTTAGGCGTGTAGCTGACCTGATTGACAGGTGGGCGTGATGTAACGGCTTGTCAGGAGGTTTAAAACCCGCCTCAGCTCCAGCTCTCAGCCTGTCGTTAGGTTGACTGAAAGTTAGACTGTGACAGCATTTCCAGCATGGTGGCTGCTGCTGCTGATGAGACTCCAGAGCCCCCTGCAGGAACAGAAGGGTGATGTCACTCAAGCTTCAAACATTAATATTTACAGATTATGATATTTGAACATGCATGAGTTGTTTTACTACAAAGTCACACCGCCAACTACTGGCCTGGCATCTACACTACAGTGTTTCTCAGTCCTTTTATGGGATTTGTGTGCACAGCAGTTTTCATCCAAACGTCATCCTCTGGAGGCAGAACATTTTTGAAAGTTTAAATGTAAAATTATTCTTTTTTATGTGTAAACGTGGCCTTAATGTGTGTTATCACATGCCCGTATTTAAGAAGTTGTTAATATGTCAGCTGAATGTAAGATGAAATATGTTTCCTGTGAGTCATCACTCTTGCCTTCTTGTTTGTTGATGAAACACTCTGAACATTAGCGTCCTCAAGCAGTGAAGAGGAAGATGATGACGGATATGGAAACATTATGGACGTTAGAGCTACTGGAGCTTCAAAGGAAACAGCTCGGCAGGACAGGTTGCTATACTCTGGTAAGCGCGGCAATAAAGAAACACGAGCTGACTTTGACTAAGGGTTGTAGCACTAACGCTGTGTTTCCTGTTTTCTGTGTCTCTTCTGTCTAAAAGGTGAGGAAGCGTCACACAAAATGGCAGAGTATGATTTGGACAGAATGAAACAATACAAGTCTAAAATCAAGAGTGCGGCAGATAAATATGACATCGATCCAGCTCTTATTGCTGCCATCATCTCCAGAGAGTCTCGGGCTGGAAATACAATCAAGAGTACTGGAGGCTGGGGGGACTATGACCAGAGCCGAAGAGCGTACAACGCCTTCGGACTGATGCAGGTTGTAATTAATGCTTCTGTTTATCTCACATCATCATCATCATCTACATCCTCAGATGGAGAGACATTTACAGCAGTGCTCGTCCATATGTTGTAGGTTGATGTCAATCCAAAGGGAGGTGGGCACAAGCCAAGGGGTGCATGGGACAGCAAGGAACACCTCTGCCAAGCCACGGGGATCTTGGTTGATTTTATTGAAAAGATCCGGGACAAATTTCCCGACTGGAGCAAGGAGAGGCAGCTCAAAGGTTTGTTGTACTGAACCGGGAGTCTTGCACACACCTGAACATGTCTTCACACGTTACTTACCGTATTTTCCGCACTATAAGGCGCACCGGATTATAAGGCGCACCTTCAATGAATGGCCTATTTTAGAACTGTTTTCATATATAGGGCGCACCGGATTATAAGGCGCATAGAATAGAACGTGTTTACAACTGAACAAGGCTGGGAGATATTGTGAATATATAAACATAAATACGTATAAAACTACATTGTATACATAGTGCATTCACAATAACTCAACGTTGTTCAAACATTAATGTGCATATTCACAATATCTCCCAGCCTTGTTCAGTTGTAAACACGTAAAAGAAACACAGTCTGATACCGCTAATTCAAACGTTAGTGCATAACTCAACATTGTTCAGTTACGTATAACACGTAAAGCTCACTTTTTCAGTTCACTCCCCGTCCACGAATCCCTCGAATTCTTCTTCTTCAGTGTCCGAATTGAACAGTTGGGCGAGTACGGCATCCAACATGCCCGGCTCCCTCTCATTGTCATTATCCGAGTCAGTGTCGCTGAGCGCCGTGTACAACCAGTATGGATCAACCAATTAACCAATTGATCCATATATAAGGCGCTCCGGATTATAAGGCGCACTGTCGTTTTTTGAGAAAATTAAAGGCTTTTAAGTGCGCCTTATAGTGTGGAAAATACGATATCTTTGTTTCCTGTTTGTATTCCATTCTGCAGGAGCAATTGCAGCCTACAATTGTGGGGATCGGAAAGTCGATAGCTACCGGGAAGTGGATAAAAACACAACAGGCAAAGACTACTCCAATGACGTTGTGGAAAGAGCAAAATGGTACAAAAGAAATGCAGACTTTTGATGGTTCGCAGCTTTTCCGATCCAAAAAATGTCCTGCAAACTCTGAAGGAAATACTCTGTAATGTTTTCCTTTCCCTTGCAATACTCGCACTTAATAAACACGATGCAACGAACATGAGTTTCTCACCTTGTTTGAACTCTGATTGGGACATTTAAAAGAAAAGAAGGGACAATAGACATCTCAGAACCCATTGGCAATCGTCTGACAAAAGCGCTGTTCAGATTGCCGTTTCAAGCCGCGACAATATTCAGTGCAGGAAGAGGCAGAAAACTCAAAGAGCTTATTTGAAGCCAGTACAAAAAATACTGTGTATAAAAACTTCTGATAAAACCATGAATAAATGGATAATGAGTAATAGCAGTTAAATGTTGTTTCAGGCATTTTACTGAGCAGCAGGTTTTTGACAGATGGGAATTATTCCATAATTTGCTGCCTCTAAATCAAATCGAAAACTGACTTCTGAAAGTCAAACATTTCGGAGGATGAAGAACTAAAGCTTCACATGTTGAGCATGACTGGACCTGGGAATTAAAAATAAAGTCACTCTTGAAGTGCTCAGGGATATTCCCTTCACTCGATGTTTTAAAAATAGAAACACATATTTGAGAAATATTGACATTATAAATGTTGAGAATCTGGAGCTTCTGAAACAAAGGAGCAGAAGAAGCACGGGACTCTGATCGCCATCCTGACAAAGCGTCTCTGGAGGAGCAGAAATGTATGGAGATTCGAGGGAAAAGTACTAGCCCAAACTACATCACAATATGCACGATATGACTGTAATAACGAGGAAGGAGACAACTGGAGGTGACGAGATGATTGACCCTTCGAACGATACCAAGAGATTTGTTTATTTTCCTGCTAACCCAACTCAAATTCTCATCAACAGAAACTCCCAGAAATCTCGTAGATGATACCTGGGACATCTCAAAGGAATCTATGTTGAAATGGTCTCTATTGTAATTTTGGACAAATCCTTAGAATATCATTTTTTTTGCCACTGAAAATGACAGTTTGATTTTTTTTTTAATTCAAAGGTAATTTATTCAATTTAAACAATTTCAGATAATCAGTTAAACCAATATTAGCATCCCTCATCAACATTTGAATGAGAGAGAACGAAGGTTGTGCCATCTGCAAACATTATTGGAGACAGAACGTGTGAAACATTATACAAATCATTGATATAGATAAGGAATAATAACAGTCCCAAAATGGACCCCTGTGGAACCCCGCAATGCAATCCTGGCTTTTTTGGAATAGCAATCCTTGACAGAAACAAACTGGCTTCTGTTGAAAAGATGTTTTACCCATTTGTGTGTAACATCATGAAAACCATATGTATTTATTTTTGTCCCAGTTACACATGATGACTAACTGTATCAAAAGCTAGACGTATACAAAGACATTTTACATAACCTGTGCAGGAATAAAAATAGATACCGTGGGCAATTTAATAAAACTGTAAACAGCTTAAAAACATTGATAACATTAGACCCCCAATGGTTTCTGAGATTAATTAAAGAGGGCATGAGACGAGAGGCATGAGACAAGAGGTCATGAGACGAGAGGTCATGAGACGAGAGGGCATGAGACGAGATGGCATGAGACGAGAGGTCATGAGACGAGAGGGCATGAGACGAGAAGGCATGAGACGAGAGGGCATGAGATGAGAGGTCATGAGACGAGAAGGCATGAGACGAGAGGTCATGAGACGAGAGGTCATGAGATGAGAGGTATATACTGTATATATCTCAACTTTATTAACTATTATCATAATTACAAAGACTTGAGACTTGGACTTGCAATGAGAGACTTGTGCCCATCTCTGTACTTGTCTTATAAACATTTGAAAAAAAAATCCCTGCTAAAACCATAGACTGTAAATATGAATTGAAGCTTGAGTGATGTCACCCATCTGTTCCTGCAGGTGGCGCTGGAGGATCATCAGCAGCAGCTGCCATGTTGGAAATCCTGTCTCAGCCTAACTTTCAGTCAACCTCAAGACATTTTTTAAAAAGTCATCCCCCGTTCAGTGTGTGCACATGAGGACAACAACTAATCAGACCTATTTGTTTTTTGTACCAGGCTGTAAACATGTTCATTTATTCTGTAAAAACAGCTTTTTTGCCTGTGTATGTGTATGTTCCTGCAGCCAGCCTCTAGTGGACACTCGACGAACTGCAGGATTTTACACTTCAGTATTGGCTTCATTTTTCAACACCGAAAGTTGCCACTTGGTCAAAACCCATCAAGCACAAAAAACAGAGATATTTGTGGTTTTGTTTTTTGTATCATGTTTATTTACCTCAGGATTTCATACAAACAACTTTTTAGACTTTTACTTAATGACTTGCAGGAAATGTTGTCAGAGTGGGCTTCAACAGTTAAAAGCCACCATGGTTCCTGTACCACTGGGCTCTGGCAGCAACATCATTGGAGTAGTCTCTACCGGTTGTGTGGTCATCGACGTTTTCATAAGAATGGACGTTTCCATCGCCCATGTTGTAGGCTGCAATCCCACCTGGAGAATTAAACACACATAAGATCAAACCATTTGTGTGAAGGGGGTTGTGTTTGTGTCAACTTAGTGGGTGAGTGAAACAAACCTTTCAGCTTCTGCTCCGGGCTCCAATTAGGAAATTTGGTACTGATCCGTCCGATGAAATGAACCAAGATGCCCGTGGCTTGTCTGAGGTGTTCCTCGCTGTCCCAAGCGCCCTCTGGAGTGTGGTTACCTCCGTTTGGATTCACATCCACCTACATATGTTTGAAGGAAATCTGGTTATATCATCAGAAAATCAAGCTAAGCTAAAATCATTTGAGTAAAAAAAGTAGCATTTATGAGCACCTGCATCAGTCCCCAGCCGTTGCCATGGTCCCCCCAGCCTCCAGTGTTCTTTATTGCGTTTCCAGCCCGAGACTCTCTGGAGATGATGGCAGCAATCAGAGCTGGAGGAATTCCCTTCTGAGCCCCCACTCTGTTGATTTTAGACCTGAACTCTTCCATTCTGCCTGCATCAGTCTGGGCCATGGTGTGTGATGCTCTCACACCTTTAGAGAAAAAAAAAAACACAGAAAAAAAGTGCTAGTAGACTCGGAGTGACCAAATCTGATATTGACCGTTTTCACAAACTGGATTTCTTTTGATTTCAGGCTCATGGTGGGAAGCTCAGTGGTCCAGGTTTGTTTTAAGTCAAATGTCCCATCACGTTTTTTTTTACCAGCACATGAAAAAAAACATACTTAGAGTAAATCTAGATCAGTGGTTCTCAAACTATGGTATGCGTACCACCGGTGGTACACGGGCTCCCTGTGGTGGTATGCAAAGAAATCTCCACATAAAAAAAAAGCATAAAACGACAATTCTTTTTTTTGTCATACTCTTATCTTATCTGTCTTGTATCTTTGATTTGTATTTATATCAAATGTGTTTTCTCCTCTAAATTAATCTAGTTTTTGCAACAAACAACTTTAATCTGCTCAATTTATGCTCGCGCGCACAGACATAAAGAACAACAGGAGTACGCCTCACATTTTGAAAAGTTCCACTCGATATTCTGTTTATAGTTCAGTCCTGAAACAACAGCAAGCAGCTGTAGACCTACATTAACAGATATTCTGTTATTTATTGGAGTTCAGCACAATCGGCAGCAAGCAGCTGTACATTTTTAAAACGGAGCCAGGAGAAGCTTCAGTTTTGATGCATGTACGAACAGTCGCTCACCCTCTATCTCTCTCTCTCTGTAGCTCTGAAGCTGATGTGATTCGTTTCTCTTTTGTTGTCTTAACACTCTGCAGGAGTCGAGAGGGATTTTTTTTAAAAGGCAGTTTTGCTGTTGTTGAACGCAGAGACTTATAATAAAGCGGCTCTGGTTGCACCGAGCCTGTGGAGCGCGCGCTTGCACTCTCACGCGCTCTCTCCCTCTCTCCCTCTCTCTCTCTCTCTCTCTCCCTCTCTCTCTCCCTCTACCTCTCTCTCTCTCTCCCTCTCTCTCTCCCTCTCTCTCGCTCCCTCTCTCTCTCTCTCTCTTTCTCTCTCCCTCTCTTGGGCCCACTTATCGTCTATTAGTGGGAAACCCTGTAGATTAAATATTCTCAAACAGGTTGTTGGTATAAAGTTGTCATTTTTATTGTGCTGCACTTTTTTTTGATTTGGGCAAATGTCAGAGTTGTGTTAGTTTAAGGGGAAGTTCTAGCGCTAGCCCTTAGAAGTCCTATAGTGTGGCTGCCAGCAGTCAATAATAAATAATATTCTTTTAATGAATTAATTTGCCTCTTGTGTGAAATATGTGTAAAAAATAGGCCTACAGTGTATTTTAACGTCTACCATAATGGTGGTACTTGGAGAGCCAAATATTTTCAGAGGTGGTACACAGTCTAAAAGGTTTGAGAAGCACTGATCTAGAGGATTTGTCCCCTGCCTTGCCTGTTGAGAAGCAGCACCTCTGTATTGAACTACTTCATATAAAATGAGCTCCTGTGTTTCGCAGCTTACTTACCTGAGTATCGCAGATTGTCCTGATTAGCCGTTTTCTGTGATGCACCGCTAGTTTGAACTCTCATGATGTCTCCGTAACCTGCAAATGATATGTTTATTATAAGATCAGTTTTTAACAGAAACAGAATCAGAATCACTTCATTTAATCCCTGGGGGAAGAAGATGGGATGTTTCAGTCGCTCTAAAAAAACAATACAGCTGGAGAGTATATACAGGGAAAATAAATATAATTATGAATAAAATGAGAACAAGAAATAAAGACATTGGTTAAACAAAGCACAGAGAAATTAGGAAATTAAGTTCAACTAAAAGAAAAAACAGCGAAAAACAGACTGTTGAGGAAATTCGTAAAACTTGACTTCCCTCAAGAAAAATTCCATCAGACGAGCACTCACCCATCTTTGATGCTTCCTCTTCTGGTGGTCTCCTCACAGCTGAGATGTCAAACAACACAATGTCCCTCTGTGCACTCTCCGGTTGTATTTATAACTCAGTGCTTTCACTTTCACTTTCCTCATGACGTTACTCCCTTCCTCGTGCTGTCTGGTGTTTCTCTCTCTCGCCTGCAGGAGGTGCTGTGAGCTGATGTGTCAGAAGAGAAAGAGGAGAGAATCAGGTGAAGGCAGCTGGTTTACAAGAATCAGACTGAGCTACACACACAAAGGTTTAATTACAGTCTGAGTTAGATAAATCTGGTTGTATCCAGTTTTTTACTCACCTTTACCCATACATGGTGAGTGTTTGTTGTTGAGGTCATTCATCAGTCAACCCCCCCCTCCCGTACACACAGTAGCCTGTAAACTGAACTTTAACATGTTTTGTGATTGTTTTTCACAGAAATCATGTGATTTGATGATACTTTTACTTTTACTTTTACACCTTCAGTTTCAGGCAGCTGATTTACAAGAAACACACCTCAGTTGATCTGCCTTGTACATTTTATTTTTCTGCAGAGTTTCCATCTTCCTGTAGCAGGAAGTAAAAGGAAGTCCCCGCCTTTATAGGGCATGTATACTGGTAGCTGTTGGTTTCTTTATTATTCCATACGTAAATGAACTCCTTATATATCTGTAACTGTACAGAGCGGTGTAGGGCCCATCCTGCTGTCCATCCATCATGTCAGCTACACGCGTACCTGGGCAGCCAACAAATACGATGTAGGCCCGATTAAAAACTGTGAACCGGTTCAGATAATCCCAAAGTCAATTTACAGACCCCAACAACACCAATACCCACTCAGAAAAGAAGCTATAGAGAGCATAACACCAGTTTTTTAACTCTCTCCTCGAGGCTGGCATTATCGTTCCATGTGGAGATTCACCAGTACAGACTCTAATCTTCCCAGTAAAAAGAATCGCCCAGCCGGGCAGCCCACGGAGTGGCGTTTTGTGAAGGACCTACAAGCTGTAAACGCTGCCATCATCGCCCTCCACTCCTAATGTTCCCAATCCATACACCATTCTCAGCCAGATTCCCTCTTCTGTGAAATGGTTTTCCGTTGTGGACCTGTCTAATGCTTTCTTCTCTATCCCCGTTCAGAAACACTCCCAGTTTTGGTTTGCTTTCCAGTTCGGAGGAAAGCGTTACACATGGACACGCCTGTGCCAAGGACTGACCTGCAGCTCGACCCTTTTTTGTCAGGCTTTGTCTCGCAGTCTCTCCCCTCTCACACTCTCTCCAGGTTCAGTCTTGCTGCAGTACGTTGATGACCATAAAGCATCCCTGTCTAAACTACAGTTTGTAAAACAGGAGGTGACCTTTTTAGGCCACATCCTCACACCACAATCTCTCTCTCCCTCTCGG